CAGGCTCACCTCATACTCACTCATCCTTGAAAGGATGAACATACTGCAAGACTTTTCAACTTGCAAATAATGGCTTGATATTCAAGCATCAGCAACCCAGCTGGAGCACTGTCAGTCTCAACTGCCCTCCTGCTTCTGAAAGGAAAGCACCAGGCTCTTCCAACACAAGGCAGTAACAACTGCTTGAGATAGGAGCAGTGGAGCATTGCATGCATGCATGCAGTGGTATTGCTCTTCCTCGCCCAAGCTAGCTCATTCAGAAGTCTTGAATTTGCCATGTTTACATACCCCAAGTCTTTGTCATTTTGTATGATTTCCAGTTAAACATTTTTAATCTGCTTTTCTTGTACCAGAGTACTCATTACACTGTCTTATGACAGCCTAGTGATTGAAGAACTGCTTCTTGGATTAGGAAATATGGGTTAGGAAAAACGGCATGATGAAAGCTATTTGAAATAATCCATCTTTGGTTAATTCCACCAGCTACTCACCCATGCCATTTTCTAGGTCTGTTTTTCCTACAATAATCATGGATTACTGCTGATACAGTATTATCTGTAGCATTTCAGATTATTCCTTTGGGACCTCAGATGACTTCATATTCCCTCATTTTAATTATACATACAGTATAACGTAGAGATTTGGATATAAGAAGGCATGAGGCCCTGAGCTGCTTTATTACATAAGAAAGAACAAACACTGATTTATTTATTACCTAAGCAATAACCCTGAAAAAAAAAAAAAAAAGTAAAATTTTGTGCCCAGCTATGACCATTGTTTTGATTCATCTGTTCACACTCTCTTAACTGTTCCTATTCTGTTCACACACAACATCTCAGGCTTTCCCAGCTATGGACCCTCCCAGGGCACTGATCTGTGATAACAGAATAGGAAGAGAGGCACATAGCAAAAATACCTGTGCTTTCAGAGAGCATAGTGGGAAGCTGTGCACACAGCAGATTGAATGACCTCCACAGTTACAACTTCCTTTGTGACAATTTTGTATCTTTGTATGCCATGCCAGCAGAATAATCTTGACCATCATAGTGAACTCTGGAATATCCTTTTCTCTGCACATGGTTCTGTACACATAGCTAAAGAAACATCCCCTCTCACTGTGAAGCCTACCATGCTCTCTGGGAAAAACAACTGGAATGTACCACAAAGATTAAAAAAAAAAGGAAAAAGAAGAAAGAAAATTACCAGAAAAGGAAATTAGCAGTAATACTGAAAACATATTTGTTCAAGGTCTCTACCCAAGCATGTGCAGCATCAGCCAGAAAACAGGCTGCAGAGCAGAGGCTGATTTAACAGGAAAAGAAACTGAAATTCTGTTTTACAGGTTTGCGCAGTTTTACAGGAAACAAAGGAGATGGGAGGACCTGGTGTTATATTGCTATTGCCTACTTAAAAACTAGTAGCGATTACTCTCATTAGGGATGCTCAGTGAAGCCAGCTAAATGCCATTTTCTGAAACTAAAGTACTTTGTTCTGACTCCATGCCACCTATAAGTACTAGACAATCAGATCTAGAAAGCCACAGATACACCACTCAGAAGACCCTGACACCTTCCACATACATGAAGCAGAAGTCGAACTCTGAGAAATGGCCTCAGCATAGAGAAATATGATACTTCTACTGAGGCTGAACACCTCTCTCTGTTTAAAAGATAAACTGTTCAAAAGTCTGTATTTGCTGTTAGTGTTGCAATCTGCTAAGCCTCCAGTGTCCCTGAAATAAATTCAGAGGCCAACTCATTTCAGTAAAATAAGTTAAATCCTTGACACTTTCTCATCCCAGTTCTTAAACATGCATTGAAAAACTGCCTGATTAACTACTGAAAAGAAATAGTGTGTCTTTAGGGTCTCTCAAACATGTTTCAAACGTGTATGGCTTCACTGTCCCGCTCAGCAAGCAGTATTTCCAAAAACAAGGACAGATCTTCTAAATCCATGCTGACACAAGAGATGAGTTAAGGAAGTCATGCACTGATGTGCCTTAAGACTTGGGCTTCGTTGACAAGTCAGGATTCATGTAGTCTGCTACTACACGAACTAGAGAACTCAGGGTGACAAGCCCATGGCCACTGAAAGTAACTTTGCAATTACAATCCTAACTCCAGCTGACTATTTAGAAGTAATACCTCTAAATGCCTTAACAGCCAGAGGCAGGCACTGATTTTATTTCAAAAGCACAGCTATGAAAGTGATTATTAATTAAAATGAGGGAAGATGAAAGTAAGCAGCTGGAGTGGTACGACAGGACTAACAATATCCACAGGCATCCTTAGCAGTGGAACAAAACGACAAGCAAGCATGTGGCTCGGTCCTTTGCCCAAGGCACTCCTGGCCTCTGAACACAGTGTATGCACACTTTTTCAGGTTCGTACATTTTTTTTTCCTACAATATCATAAACAGACGGGTAACTTCAACTATGTAATTTGCCATCTTTATTTCCTGAAAAGAGTTCCAACTGTAAAACCACAAACTAACTCCAGAATTACAGTCCAGCACAGCCCACCAAAGGTAGGATAGAAATGAAGTGGGAGTAATCTGAGGTGAGAAATATTAAATTTTCTCACTGTCAGTGATGTCTAAATACTGTATAGCATTTCTATACATGGTGTACTATTTTCACAGAAATCAAATCATTTACCCCAAACACACACAGTTTCATGTACTGGGTTGGTTTTTTTTTACATCAGATACTGCTATTGGAAGAGTAGGAAAAACAGCTCTTTTTAATATATGGATTTCTCTTTGAGGCCTCTATGGTACTTGATTAAAGATTTATTCCTATAAAGCTTTTACAAAGACTGCATCGACAATAATCCACATGGGGGATTTAGACAGGGTTAATTAATATTCTGAACCAAGAGTCCAGGACAGGATGTCTTACTGTATCTTAATTTCATTTTCCCATTTCATTCATCTAAATGGGACTATAGACACCCGTCAGATTTCTACCCAACTGAAGAAGCAAGAAAGCAGCTTTTTTACATACTTAGACATGGAGAGTAGCAGAAATGCAAAGCACTAGTACACAGACTCAGCTAACTCTATATACAGCAATGAAGTACAGATGGCTTTAAGCCAAAGGGTGACAATGTTATTCATTTATTTTCAAATAACATTAAGCACACACTGAAATAAAGATGATTGCTCATTAAAGACAACAGAGATTTTTAAAAAGTTGAAAAATTTACATCTACCAAAAAGCCAATTAGCTTTCAAGTTTTCATTGCTTCCCTCTGTCACACAGTAACCCATTTTTCTTCTTGAATTTCACCTATCACTGTGATATGAGAAAAAAATAAATAACTGAAGCCAATATAGAGTGTCACCTTGAATCTGACCCTCTGCTTTAGATTATGAAACAAATTCTCAGAGGTAAATTACATGACTACACATCACTCGTTCATTTCAGGAGCATTTCCTTTACTTTGTTATTGTGTAAAAGACCTGGGCAGACACAAAGCAAAGGCCCCAAATAGCAACATTGGGAAACTATAAAGCTGATAATATATGAAAAGGCATCATGTGCACAAGGTGGACATTTGAAAAGATTAGTTATTTCTCCTTTTTAAGTCTTAACAGTATTGGTTTTAACTGAAGACCATAAAACATTTTTTCATACAGCAGCTGGACTTTAAAAATTAATTTGAAAGGTTCCAGCAAAGCCTAAAACATACTGACAGCACAATACACTTCAGTGGGCTAATTCTAGATTCTTTGCATTTCAATAAAACTTCTCCTGGGAGGGTATCCAAGTAGTTTAAAAAAAAAAAAAAAAAAAAAAAAGAGGTCAATTAAGACTCCTCAATGAGGAAGTTTATACTCTGGCTCATAACAAGTAAAATGTTCATCCAAGAACAAAGACTAAGAAATAATGAAAACCCACTGATTTCCTGGTTTACAACCTATTCACTCAGTTAAACAGTTTCAGTATTCCACCAAAGATAAATAGCTATAATGTGAACTGTATGTTCCAGCTGCTCTGTACAAACTATAAACTTCCCATTCAGCAGAATGCAAGCTGTTCCTGAAACTTTAAGAATGAGACCAGTGATAATGGGATCACTCCCATTCATGCAGTGACTCATGAGCATAAGAATTTGCAGGGACTGGGGAAAGCTTCAGTGAAGAAGTCAGCGCAACAAGTGTTCAGGGGCTCCATGCTTCTGCGACATGCAACTGCAGTGCACCTCCTGACTAGCAACATGGCAAGGCATATGTATATGTAGTACGGCACAGCTAATGCACAGGTCAAAAGAGCTGTTGTTTTCCTTCATTTTTCCCCAGTTGAATTTCTTGAAAAGTACCCAAAGCAACAAAATAGTCACAATGGCTAAATGACAAAACTCCCATTTGTTAAGTATGATTTTATTTTGACATACGTACGACTATTTTTACAGCATAAGCTGGAAAATCCCAATATAAGCAAAAAAGAACTCTTAACTTCCAGAAAAGCTTTACTTTAAAAATATAAATATGTTGCACCTCTATGTCAGTTTCCTAAAGGTCTACCAGTACATTAAAAATACTATCTTGGTTGTGGTCCTAAAAATATACACAAGAGAAAATTGAGTGGGACTACACATGATCCTGTTGGAAGAGTTAAGGCAATTACTGAATTAAACTTCATAGATGATTTCAATAAGCAAACCAAAACTAAGACCCAGAAGGAACTTACTCAAGACCACAATCCTTGCCAGGGTAAAAGTCAGAATAATCCTTCTCTAGTCATTTGACCATTGTTTCTCTTTCTGAGAGTTCTTCAACAACATGACTACTTCACTGTATGTTAAAACATCACCTTAAACTGTTTTTAAAAATCTATAGGTACCACAATAAATAAAAAAGCTACCAACAGTGCAAATGGCTGTTTGCTCTAGTATTTTAGCATAAAAAGTGAGAACCTCACCCTACACAATACACAGCCTGATTTTGAACTTGTTAGAAGACATACATTAAATGCACAAACAAACAAAACAAATACCTGGTGAGCTCTTCTTTAATCTTCAGGGGTTCATGTGGGTAGAATTTCACTCTAAAGCACATGGTAAATGGTGGATGAGCTGAAACATTATAAAGATAAAGCATGAGAACAGTAGCAAACATTGTCTCAGCCACTTGGAAGGAATAAACTCCAAAAGTCTTAAAAAGTAGCTGGTGTGATGGTTAGCTCTGAAACATCAGGCAGCGATTCAAATAAACCAATAAACACTATATATATATATGTATATACGAAGAGAATATATGACAAAGGTGGCCAAAGCATGTGCAAAATAGACCTAACCTAGGCAAATCAATTTATAAAGGGATTTGCACCTCACAAGACTTTTTGTTTGATATAGGAAGTACAAAAAACATTTGTGCTGCTATTTTTTTTTATAAACAGGAAGCAGATGCATCTTGTCACAAAGAGATACAAAAGGTGTTACCTATACTTGTTATTTCTGACAATGATAATACCCAGACTACAAAATGGAAGAACCCATTAATTAAATTTGGTTAATGAAGCTAGAGACAACAGAACTGTTATTGTTTACAGTATTTAGTAAGACCACATTACCTACTCTTGAGCTATAGTAACAATACTGGGCGTTAAGTACAATCCTTTTTCTTTAAAAAAAAAACAAAAAAAATCATAACAAAAAAAACAACCAAAGAAGAAGACCTAGTAACAGGAATTATTTCAGTTCTGCAATCAGTATCTCTCAGTTTTACATTAATGAACACAGCTTTATATCGCACTGTTGTATCTGTGACAGTATTCAAGATACTACCTTATCTTAGGCCAGTTGATCTTTCAGTGATCACAGAAGGGACAGAAAACAAACTGAAGACTATTAATCCCACCAAAATGTGTGAAAACGATGCAAAAGGCTTAAAAGTGTCACATCACGCACAATACGCAGGTAGGCAGAGCCCTCAGAACTATCTGTAGCCAGGTAGTGTTCATGTTTTACATTCCAGTTCTCAGTTTGGAGTGAGAAGGAAAATAACCACATCTTCAAAAGGTAAATAGTGTGGGGGGAAAAGTAAGCTGGGCAGGGGTCCTTTACCAAAACGTTTACCCTCACAGCCATTTTTAGGTGGACAGAAATAGAAGAAAAGCTGAGGCTTTAAACAAAATGGGAACATGTAATAACTGTGCTCATTTGGGAGTGTCCTACAGAACTGAGTGCAAAATTATAATCCTTTTATTGTAATATTTAACTCTGAAATTAACTTTCTGCATATTTACAACTGTACTCAATGTTTATAGACCCTTCCTTTTAAGGGGGGGGTTGGGGTTTTAGTTGGGTGGGTTTTGGTTTGGGTTTTGGTTTGTTTTGGGTTTTTTTAAATTAAAGCATGCACGTAACTTTGCTTCATAGTAAGTAAGAATTATAATATTCTGGTTAGATTCAAAAGTCCCTTGTCTTATTGTATCCTGAATGCACTCAGTCAATCTAACTTCCTAAATCTGGAAGAGAGGGTTCTTTCACATGAGAACGGAAGGTTGAAGAACAGGGCAAAGAAAATTACAGAGAAAATGAAGGAAGAGAACAGGTGAAACAGAGGATTACTTTTTAGTCATTATAATATATAAAAGTAATCATACAGATACCACAACATTTTACTGTACAATCTCCTTAAGCTTACTTGCTCACTGACTTGTATAAACTGCATGTGCAAATTAGTTCTATAAACATGATACCTCTTCAAGCTACTCTGACTGCAGTATTTACATATATGCTGCAGTCTTCCAGAAACTCAGGACTGAAGATCACATAGTTCCATGTGATGTACAAAAGCAACAGAAAATAAAAATGCATTACATCTTTCATTATGGTAGGTGTCTTTTGAAGGGTTTGACTGCTTATGACAATGTAGGAATATTTTTCCCTTTCAAGACCTCGTTGCACTTTTTTTAGCTACTTTCAGCCTCAACAAAAACTGCTGATTTCACGATTTTTTTACTTGTTTAAATAATTGTTCATTGAAAACACAAGGAGAAATATCAGAAGAGATGGGGATGAAGAGATAAAAAACACAGGGAAAAAAACAGAAAGTAAGGAAACAATTAGAAACAAACAAGAGGAAGTGGAGGAATAAAAACAAGCCTTAATTGTTCTCTAGAGATGATTCGAACATTCAAGCTAATCAAGTCCTCTGAGGGTAAGAGAAACACTCAAGACTGCTTTCTGTGGGCTTCAGCTGCTTAGACATGACTGCAACAGTGTCTTACAGTAATTGGACGTAGACTGAAAAACAGAGAACACTGTTAGGTCCTCCCTGCCCTTTAGTGGCAAACTAGACGGTAAACCAAATTCAATATCCAAGAAAGGAAAACAGCCATCCAGAGATTAAGGAGTCATGTTGCCTGGACAAAGCAAAAGATAATGTAAGTCATCTTTGATGGTTCTGTCTCTTAGCAATAACATCCCTTAGCAAGGGATAAAACTTGGACTTTTATAATATGGTTGCACTCACAAAACATGACTGAAGAACCAACCAGTGTTGACTGAGCAAGAGCTCTTCCTCAAAAAAAAAAAAAAAAAAGAAAAAAAGGGAAACAAAACAACAACAACAAAAAAAAAAAAACTTTTACCTGTCCTGGAATATTAGAATTAGTTTGTGGTTGAAATAGGGATGCAGACATAAGAACAGCTAGTGCGTGCCTCTGCAGGACCTTAGCTACCACAAGCATATGCAAGACTCTAAAAATGTATTGAATTTTACCTAAATTTTTGGATGCCAATGAAATGATTAAATTTTCTGGCTGTGGTAAAAAGAATTATAAATTCTTTTTATAAAATAATATAAAATATATATATATTTTTAATATACAAAAATATATTGATATCAGGTAAAAATAATACATATATATCAGAAGAGCCATATTCTGGCAGCCTGTGGTAATCACAGAAAAACAACAGCTGCCTTGTATGCATGAAGTATCATTGCGAGGAAAGGACAGCATACACTGGACTAAATAAAATAGCCCAGATGCAGTTAACAGGAAATGTTTTCCTCGTGGACAGAAGTGTACACCAGTGCACAGAATACGCAGATTGGCAAGATCTGGCAAGGTAGTTTAAAGCCTACTTTGAAACATTTCCTAGACTCAAGCCTCTGTAACAATATTCCTCCTCAGTAGTGCAGCTAGCAATACAAAAAACAAGGCTGCTGCATACTGTCAAACAGAGGTCTTCCCTCAGCAACTGCTGCAAGTATGGCAATTTGAAATTTTAAAAATAATATGATCCCCTCCATCCAATTAATCTCTGGAAATGAAATAGAAGGTACCCTATAACTACACAGTGAAACAGGATCTTCTTTTTTCTGTTCTATTTTTTCCCAGTTAGAAAACCTGCCCAAAAGAATGAGCACTTGAAAGAAGAAGAAGGGACCCCCACAGCTATCTACTTTCTTCTCCATTTTAAAATGGATCGTAAGCCTAATGTTCCTCCAAACACACATTTGATGGTATGTAGACCTTTAGTAAGGGTTTTGTCTTACAGATTTTACAACACTTGAGAAATACACATGAGAACCTCATATTCTCTCCTTCACTATATTCTTGTAGTGGAAAGCAAGACAGGCAGTGAATTGTATAGCTCAAGAAATGAGATTGTCAAGCCAGACCGTTCCTCGGTTCCTTGAAAGCAAAATTACTTTCTACTACTTACTTGCACATTAAAGTGGCAACATTAACAATAAATCTTCCCAAAACAGAATTCAATTTACACAGAGGGACATTTCTTCAAAACTAGCCTGAATATAATTAGTTTTAGAACACCTATAAGCTTTTTCTTTCAGACTGGTCCTTTACCTATCAGATAAGGAGCAGCCAGTACAGTGAAATGCCTAAGGCTTTGTCAGAATTTCCTACCATCACAGGCTTTGCTTTTTCACTAATATTCACAACTACAGTAACTGCAAAGGACATTAGCATGGAAAATAGTACTGACTGCAAACTCCACTGAATAGGGCTATTAATTTGCCAGTTTATGCGCTAGCAGAACATAAAAGATGAAGGCAAAAGAATAAAATCATTTAAATTATACCAAATGTTCAGACCAGTCCTGACCTAGAACCTCATGAAGAAACTACACATACAGCAATGGAAGTTTTCTAGGCAACTGATGTGTCTTCAGGGTTTATTTCAGTTACATTCAACTAAGACAAACTACCCCATATACATGAAACAATAAGGATCTCCTAGCTAAAAAAAACAAAACTCTAATACCCTGATCAAAACAAATGGGGAGACGGGACCTGCACCCCTAGGCACAGGTATCAATGTATAAGAGACTGCATCTTCCATGCATTCATTTTTAAGCAAAGCCCACTGAATCACTCTTCTTCTGTGTAGATCAAAAGGTAGATCATAAGCCTAAGAAAATATGCACATTTTCTTCATAGAAAGATAAACTGAAATACTACCTTTTTGTAAGAGAAAAATTGTTTTTTAAACAATAACAGAAAAAAAAAAGCTGGTGAAAAACTTGGCTGAAGTTTTAGAATTGTGAACCAAAGAGGGAGAAGGACAGATTCTCATCTGCTGCTTTTGGGTAGGTTTCCTGTTTGCTTTTAACAACTTGCTTTTCATCCAGCATGAATACTAGGTTCTGTAATGAGCTTTACTGGCAGTGTTGTTTTTTTTATTAAACATGGATTCAGATGGATACTGAAAGCCAAAAGCAGATTTTTTAATTATCTTCATAGCCCTGAGAATGCGACATTTCAGAAAACTTCCTGCATTTCTCTTTGATGTTATGTATTCTCTGAGCTACACTATACCTACCAAAAGGTAGTGAACATCGGGGGGGGGGGGAAGAGACCAAACCAGACCAAAAAAATCATTACTCTCTGGGGCACCGTGAGACATATATTGCTGTTTCCATATCCATATTCCACTTATCCAAACAAATCAGCTGTTTGACCCTATCACTTGGTGAGCGTGTTTAAGACAGAACACTACTCAGTGTTTTTATTTCATGCATAAGAGATACGGGAAGGAAGGAAGGATGGAAGAAAGGAGAGAAAGAAAGACAGAAAGGTGGATTTTCATCAACCAGTTATAAAAATGCTTTAAAGCATGTTAATAAGAATCATACATAAACAATATACATCATTTGGAGTAACACCAGAAGAATCACACAAATCTTAATGTTTTCACTGTGCATAGATTTATGAACCTCATATCTGAATAAACTCTTTACATTTGCACTTAGACACAAAAACTGATGACAACTTTGAGATTTAAGAATCTTTAGGAGGTTTTGCACAACCCATTTCTGCATCCGGGTTCTTGCTTTCCCTGATTCATCCCATTTTGTTTCACACTTTATAATAGCATTAGAGATTCAGGAAATTAACAAATTCCAGTGGCCTGACACAGGAAAGCATCCTTTTTGCATTACTCTCTCAGATCAACTGACATGTAAAGCAGCAAGGAAAACATGAAATTTGAACTACTGCACACCAAAGCAACAGAATTGATTCTGTCATCAAGATCAAAACCCATAGAGTTGGACATTTCCCACAAAGCAGATTACAGGATAGATGCATACTTATTATGCAGAATAACCTTCAAAATTATTGAAAAACAGAGAGAGGGAAAGTGCATGGGAAAACTCTGTTCTTTGCTTAAACATTAGTGCTGATGTGACCAGCACTAGGATTTACACCAAGACATTCCTAGACAGAAAATAAGTAAAAAATGTAAGATGGCCAAATGGTAAAGAGCTTTACTGCCAGCATCTAGGAGATTACAGCATACACAAAAACATGCAAAACAATAGAAAAGCAGGTTTCGGAAGTCTTTATCTAGAACCACAAAGTTGCAGCTATCTCATGCAACCTTTCAGTTTTCCAACACACTGCTGTAAGCATGGTGCTCACAGCTATCAATCACTGGCCAGTAAGTGGCTTCAACTTGTAGAAGAAGACCAGCAGTGGTTCAGGACATTTCTCAGAGCCTAAAATTTCCACTCTCTGGCAGAATTAGTGGCAAAAATTAGACCTAGATTTTACACGTCATGTTTTGACACAAACATTCAAGGGAAGGTGGAATACACAAAGGTAGAGATTGACAGAAAAAAAATGACATGTTTTAATTCTTCTCTGTTGAACCAGGTTTCATATGTGATTAAGACAAAATTAAAAATATTCTGGAAGATTCTGTCATATCCCAGGGTTATTATGAGTTTAAAACAATCTTTGCCAAAGCTAAGGAAATTAAAATGGTAGAGCACCACACAAGAGCCCACGAAGACTTCAAGCATGCAACATCCTATCCCACCAACAGAATCATATAACTGCCGGATTGTGATTTCTGTACAGCCTATGTAGAGGGATTATACCTGAATGATTCATATGCTACTGAGGCCCATGAAATCTCATACCTACTGAAATTTGTATTAGAACACTACTCCAAATCATTCCTTTTCTGCTCTGTATATTTTTCAATACTGAGGTGTACGAATAAACTGAAAAAATTGTTATTGTGCTGGGGGAAAATGAAGCTCCTCACAAAGAGTAGCTGAGATCAACCATGCAGCAAATTTTCAAATTTGCCATAATCCTATAAAAATCTGAGCATTCAACTGAATTTAGAACACTTTGAATCATTAGTATTAATATAACCTACTCTTGCAGCAGAGGAGATGAATGTCCATTCTTACATACAATCACTGTCAACAGCCATTTCTCCTAGAAGTCATATATACATAATGTATGTTCTATTAACCATTCACTTCATGGTTCCAGTTTTTATACTTTCCACCTGATTCTAATTTCAGTCCTCACTTGTGTCACCTGAGGCTCTGATGCTTTCCAAATGAATATGGTTAATTTCTTCTTCTGAGTCTAAACCATTTCCTAGAAAACCATGTATTTTTAGACAAAATATGAATTAACCTTGTGTGCCTTTAAAAATTTAGTTTTCTACATTAATACAGAATATTTTTACAAAAATAAAGCAAGAGGTTCCTGATGTGAAATGCTTACAAAAATGTCCTTGAAACCTGTGGGAGAAAAAGATGTATTTACGTGTTATCTCCATTAATTCTACACATGCATTTTATATATATATATATATATATATATATATACACACACATATATGTTTTGTTTCCTTAAAGGGCTATTGTAGCAACTGAAGTCCTTTATCTGTGACAAAAAATATAGTTAAGCTACACTAGTATTAACCTAAAATTGCTTATAAAAAGCCAATCACAGTAGTTAATTCTAGTCCTGTGTCTTGAATCTAAGGCTGATAACAAAACTCCTTTGTTACCATCTCATTCTCTGCTGCTGTTGCTGTTGAAAAATTTTCACTGTGACAACTAATCTCATACTAGCTGCATTCTGTTTTGCTATTTCCTACATGATCATTTTTCTTCTTTTTTCTTTTTTCTTAGATGTTTTTTCTTCAGAGTTTTTATTAGTAGTTACCCAAAAGCCACACAAGTCCTCTGATAAGACCATCACATCAGTGAATCTGTGGAACTTATGGAGTAGCATCAATCATATCTAAGCACCATCTCTGTGCAGGTAGAGTTGTTCTGAATAAATCAAAACACCCTCGGTACATCTGGTGGCAGAGTTCCTGAATATGTTCCTATGCAAAGTGCAACAAGAAACATGAGCTTCACTTTGTTGGGTGCAAGCAGTAATACGCAGCACTTGAGTTTGCTGGACAGTAACAGTAATCTCAAACCAGTGCTCTGCATTGTCACTAAGTAGGAGACAGCAGAAAGAGAGCAAACCAGAAAGACCCAGAACCAGATTGCCACATTCCACATTTCACTGCCATCTCCCAGTGGCATCTGACTGAAAACAAGAGCCAAGAACGTACAGGTCTTCCAACCAGATCTGCCACCCTACACACATCAGCTGACCTCTGCCTCTAGCTCTGAGCAGCAAGGGGAAGCTCTTGATGTGCAGAGCACTGTGACAGTGTAATGAGAGTACCCTGAGTTTTTAGGAGCCTAGAGAGGACATACAGGGCCTATTTGCACCAAGAAACAAATTAAACATATTCTAAGTTACTGTGTAACAGGAAAACTTTTTGCACAGGAAAACCTTTGGGCATTTCTAAAACATGAACTCTCAACACTTACATTTCATTTGCTTGATGATGGACTTGTTGGGCTCAAGCCAGTGCTGGAAAGACAAAGCAGAGAGCAGAGGTTAATACAGATCACATCAGACAACAACATCCTTGTACAGCTATGTGGTACCAAAAATAGGAAGTACGATTTTTGTTTCACTGAGACATATATACGCTGAAAAAGCACCTCCATACTGTTGTAATGTTGGAATTGCACTGTACAAGCGTATTTAGTTTTACCACTGCTTAGTAGATACATTCAAGGTAAGACAAATATTTTATTTTAAAGATAAATTTTAAAAGACATTCTCTAGTGATTAGTTTGCAACAGACTTTTCAGACTTACACTTTCAGCCATTTTTGTCTAGAAATATGACCATCTGGGCCAGTAGGACAGACTATTCAGAAACGTTAATATTGTTTGTTCATTAATGCTGTCTTCTACAGGTCTTATATAAGCACGTAAAAATATTGTATTCTCAGTCAACAGCTTCAGAACACAAGCTACTGTTCTCTTCTAGCAAGAACGGAGAATCTGAAGGGAAAAAGTGTACTTTTCCATGAAATGTGTATGCTACTTTCAGTGAATGCACAACAGAGAGGTACAGATGGTATAGTTGGTGTTTAACTTTCCAGGGAAAGACTGCAATGACAGAAAAATTTCTATAAAATCAACTCAGATTCTTCTGGGATGAAAAGCCAGGCTCACATTTTTGTTAAGAGCCTTAGCACGTCCCCTGCTACCACTAGCTGAACCGTTCAGGAGCATGTTTTGATTGACAAAAGAACATGCTGATATTCAAGTGCCACTTCTAACCACAGCGAACAGCATTTGTACTGGGATTTTTCCTGTAAGCAAAAAATTTCCGCAGTAAAATGAGATTTGTGCTGCAGAAGCAGCTGGTCAGAAAGCATAGTATTCAGCTTTAATAAGCATAATCAACACTGGAAGGCCTTGCACTAAGGGGTTTCATTTTTAACCCTTTTTATTCTAGCTCTGAAGTCCTACAAAATCTAGTACTTTTTAAACCACATGTAATATTTAGAATACCCTACATCAGCTACTGTTTTTACTCATAACTTACAGTAATTCTGCTACAGAAAAAGGCCAGGGAAGACAGTTTGTAAGAATTGTCAATAGGTGACAGAAATTATTATTTTAAAAATCATGGTATCTCAAGACTTCAGTCAAAATCAGGGATAACTTTAAATTAGTTTTCTGGAACCAAACTTTTGAGAAAACAAATAACATGGAAAGAACAGTTTTAAATACCTGCAGCTTATATGCTACGGCTGCTCCGAAACTACTGCATACAGTTTACAGTAATACTGGTGATCCGCACTACCCTGTATTTCTGTTTGAAGCTTACTTACCACTGCTCAAAAGACAAAAAAACCAAAAAAAAACAACACCAAACTTCAAACAACAAACTTGAAAACAACAAAAAACAACCCCACACGATTTCTTCACATCTTCCCTCTTTCTAGTATGTCTCTTTTTTGGGGGTGAAAGAAGAAAACAAAAAAGAGAAATCAGTAAGTGCTTCACCAACTTACCAGAAATACCTAGCTCATTTCATTCTTTTTTAGATCACACAGATACATTATTTATTAATTCTGCTCCGAATAACTGTGGGGTGAGGGCTGTTCATAAATAGGTTAGGCAAGTTAAGAAATTGTATGCAGTCTGCAGTAATTTATAGATAAATGATCTAGATGAATTCACAGATATGAAACCAGACACACAGATACACAAGTTTACTTTCTTTAACCTCTTCACACACCTGTCCCACCTCCACCAGGATTTAGGTATCCTAGCTGAAGATTCAGACAGCAAAGAGAAACCCAGACAGTGAGCTGTGCTGTATTATTCCCAGGGAACTGAGAGGTAAGAGGTATCTCACACATGTAATCTACCAGAAGCACAACACAATTTGTTTGATGTTTCTCTTTGAAAGGCCAGGCTGAAATACTAGTACAGACCAGGTCAGCATCTGCAGCTGCTTGAAAAAGTCAGTTACCTATTCTAACAAAAAGTCAGGTATTAATAAAAACACCCAATTTGCAAATATTAAACCCTCGCAATTAATGACTAATTCATGAATAATGAAAAGGGGAAACGTGAATGAAATTCCTCCTGCATAAACCCCCAGAACACAGATTTAGCTAACATGTCTGAAAGCAAACTGTTTCTAATGTTTCACTAAGAGCTGGCTTTCATAGTTTAAAAATGGATTGAAAAGACACCGAGCAATTAAGCTGTCTAGACCTTCACTTGGAGGTCAAGGAACTGGCAGGTTTCAGAAGCTCAGATTTCTGTAGTGACCTTCTGTTGGTGGAAGATTGCAGACATGTAGGAAATTCAAATGAACCTTCCAGAAAACTAAGCAGTCACTTTATAATTTGTGGACATTTTCTAAGATACAGCAATTAGGTGCTTAATGCTGTCTGAATGTCAGGGGAAGATAAACACCTAGTCACTGCTAGTACTTCTGAAAATAGCCACCCCTATATTTGTTTGCATATTTCAATTTGAGTTTTAGGAAAGATTTTCCCCTGAGTACTTATCTTCCAGCCTTACAGCACTGACTAATAATTAATAATTGTGCCTCATCTCTACACTAGAGTATTCATGCTATATTTATTCCAAGATTAATTAGCTCTTACAGCTAGGACCAGATAAAAGTTCCTATAAATTCGTCCAAAGGTTTCTGCAGGAATTTTCAATTGAAAAGCACATGGCTTTGCAAAATGTTCCTTCCATGTATCAATCTTTTGTTAAACAATTTCCTGAAAAGAAAGAAAAAAAAAATCCTCAGACAAAAAGAAATACAACATTTTGAGTTCTCAGACCAAACTTTAAAAGCATTTAATGCTTCCACCACAGAAAGATGTCATTGCTAAAGTGTGCCACACTGCCTTGCAGGAACAAACCATAGGTGTTTCCAATTTTTTTGTAAAGATAGCACCTCATTTATAAGACAAATAAAAAAAAAAGAGAAACAAAACAAGTCAGATGTAAACTTGGAACCACAGACAGAATCTTTAATTTCCCTCCATGGAGTAAAATGTGCAAACTAGAGGAAGGGAAAAACCCATCAACCTTACAGTTCCATTTTTGCCTCATGTATTTCACACTGTTGTCCATAAGGACTGCTTTAATTGGATGATAGCCTACACCCTCAAACCAGCTTGATTTTTTATGTGGCAGTACTTAATGATCATCAGAAATCATTCCTGCAGAGGCTGAGCCTCCTATTTCAATGATGGCATGTTAGTAACACGGTTGTTGCCCAACGGAGTAGATAAGACTTTGATCCTAATCCAGATAACATCTAAGAATCCTTTGAGGAGATTCCTGTTCAGCACTGCCAACTTCTAATCCCTTCTGCCAAAAGACATCTGTGTAGGAGCTGGGCACATAGATGGTCAGGCAGATGTCCTCACGGAAGCAGAAAGCAAAGAAAGAACCTAGAGATCTTGAAGGTCAGTCATGGGATAGCTAACAAGTCTCAGTGCTTCAAGCATCAGTGGTGAGTAAGCAAACTATTATGGATATCACTTTCGGTGCTGGGATCCTAAAATATGCTGAGAATTGCATTCTGACTCATATTTCACTGCGACTACATGCTGTGTTTCAGACTAGTGCAGTTTTTACTTTGTAAATACAGCCTTCACCTCTGCTCAGCCTTTAAGTGGCACTGACTAGTCATTAGCAAGGACAGGTGTGTTCTTGCTTACCCACAAATGCTCAGCAGCTGATGTTCTACCAGCTTCCACAGCAAAAGCTCAAGACGAGCGAGGACACCACGTACAGATAAAAACAGTGTTGTAGAAAGTCAGTTTAACTCCACAAACACTGATACCCTTTTAGTAAAGATACTTCAGTCAACAACCTGTTTTGAACAGTCATTCACTGAGAAGCTCAGACAGGACTGAGCTTGGTCTCACTACAGCACAGAGTTAAGGGTTTTAGGATAAGATGCAGGGAGGAAAGAGGACACAACGTCACATATCTATTTTTACAGTCCCTGTAAAGGGTCAGGTGTCATGAAAATGCCCAACTGTTCTTCCTCTAAAATTCAACAGTCTCCTTACAGTGCAAACGTGTGGTTCAGTCTCCTCATCCTATGGACTCCTGTGTAAGAGTGGCATAAACCAAAGCTCACCTCCTAAAAACCTGCCAAGCCAAATGCAAGTGCTTGGGACCTGACAAACCAGAAGTCCAAGGAATTCAGTGAAAAGTCTCTCCCCTCCTCCAACACAAGAGGCTTTCCATTTAGCCGCTCTGTAAGAGGAGCACTAAAGAAGCGACAACCAAACATGACTAAATGCTATGAATATTTAACTCCACCTCAGCAAGCAATATTTAGTCAATGCTCAGATATCCATACGGTAAAACAGAACCTGAGAACCTGCAGACATCACAAGACTACTCTAACGAGCATTTGAGGACTTTGCTCGATGGACAGAAGAAAGCAGGAGAATGGAGATATGCACTGAAACACTGATAGAAAAGTAACAAAATTAATTTTATTTAAACATCAACCCTATATTAATCTTGAAAATGAATACCTAAAATTTTCCTTGAATGAAAAGCAAAATCAATACTAATTTGCTTTAGCTTCAAGGCAGTGACTTGTACCAGGTCACTGCCAAAAGCCAGACTCAAAAAAATAGCAACGGTATCCAAAGCTAATGGAATCTAAGACACTGGAATTAACTAGATACCCCTCTACACCAGCGCAACAGATGACAAACAACCTAGGGCACCCTGCATATCTCCTTCTTCATGCCCTGAGGCTGACATCATTTCTTCCTGGTTTCAGGAACCTCTATACCAAGAATATCTGCTAGTGGCTGCTTAGTTGACTTAGGACACAAGGATACGGAATGAAGCTACATCTGGGAAAGTTCAGACTGAATGTTAGAAAAGGGTTCTTCTCTGAGAGGGTGGTCAGTCACTGGAAAAGGCTCCCCTGGAAGTGGCCACAACACCAAGTCTGTCAGCATATGGATGATGCTCTGAATCATATGGTTTTAGTCCTGTGAG